CTATCCCATTTTAGCACTGATGTTGTTACCTAGCCGGGTAATGAAACGTTTGCAAGAAAAGAACCAAGCTCAGAGAACCCCAAGAACTCCATATATATATAATTTCTACCTGACAGGATAAAAAATTCTGAGGATAGCTTTCCAGCCCTCAACCCACCACCACAGAACCTACATTTGGGACAAAAAAAAAAATCCTACTTACAAAACACTGCTTGACTAGATCAAGGTGGAACTGTACTCTGCCTTCTAGATTATCCTGCTGTTTTAGATCACTCCTTGTATTCAGAACATATTAACCCTAGTCAAATGTCCACTTCATACTAATGTGCACCCAGATAAAGCTCAGATGGCAATCTTGTGATGAAACATGGTTTATTTAATTATGTTTTTAATGAATTCCAGAAATGTATATCCTACTTTTCCACCTAATATACCGAAATAAATACATTATTTCCATTTTCTATATTTAGAAAATGAAAGCAACCATTTTTTTAAAAAAGAATCTAATAGCAATCTAAAATTATAGCAAAACAAAAATCCACAATGCAACTGCTAAAGTGTAATGTATAAATAGCAATGCATAATCAACAATGCATGAGAAAGGAGAGAAAGAGAATCATGAACACAGAACATTAAAAATTAAATTTTTAGAAGTAGTGAAATACCATTAGTGAGGGAGCAAAGCTGTGCACTGAGAAAGCCCAGGGAAACCTAGAAAGAACCTTCCTATGGAATCTTGTATAAACCTAGGATGGGGGCCATATGCAAGCAGGTGTTTGAGTTAGGTCACCCAATGACTGCAACTGCATTATTCCTGCTATCCCACTTGTGGAGAGAAGTTATATTGAAGCAAGGTAAGTCCAGCTTGCACTCAAATGACTTTTGTAGATCTGGAAGCCCAGAGTGATATTTGGCAAAATATGTGGGTTTTCATTTATTTATTTTACAGCAAATGCCAAAGCCAGGATATATTGGTAATTCTGTTCCAAAACCATTGCTTTTCATTCACTCTGAAAGGGTGTGCTCCAAACACCTTATTGAAAAGGCTTTTGGTTTGCTGAGTAGAAAGAAGATTCAGGAATATTGTCTTTTTTCTGGGGTCTGTGAAATAATTCTTTTGCAAAGCTTCAGAAGTAAGCATCCAGAGTATGCAGAATAAGTATTTCCTTGATTACTTAAGTGAAAAAAAAATCAATGTGGGTGTGTAAGGCAATAACAACAACTATTATAGTATTATCTATGGAGAGAGAGTTCAGGAGAAATCAGCAGAGTAGTTACAAAAGGATAATAACTTAGTGATAGATCACATACATAATATGAAGAACCTCATTGACATCTCCATATTTCTACATAGATGAGATAGCTTTTCTTCTTAAATCCAGATGTCTACCATCTTCTGTCAATAACATAAAAAGCAAAATATGTGACTGAATTTTAGACTTTATCTAAAAGTCTCAGTGGTAGAACTTTTCGATTCTCCAGATCTTGCATAAGTGTGTCCTTTAAGTTCAAGTTCCTCATATACTTTTTCAGTTCTTTCCTCTTCTTAGAAGAGTTTTGTTATTTACTTCAGGCCTAATCAAAATAATATAGCATTTGGGGAAAAAAATACAGCCCAGTAACCCAAAACTGGATGCTATGATGGAGAAGATCTCCACAGCTACCATATATTTCCCCTTTGTACTCAAGTAAGTGGGAATAAAGGACAACCAAACACTGCAAAAGACTAACATGCTGAAAGTGATAAATTTGGCTTCATTAAAACTGTCAGGCAGCTTTCTTGCTAGGAACGCCACTGTAAAGCTCATAACTGCCAAGGAGCCCATAAAGCCCAAGACACAATAGAACATGAAGACAGATCCTTCATTGCAGCCCAGGACAATTTCTGTAGCCATTGTCTGCATGTCAAAATCTGGGAAAGGGGGAGATATTGACAGCCATATAATACAAATGGTAACTTGAATAAATGAGCAACAAACAATAATGGAGGTGACCATCCTTTTTCCCAGCCATTTCCTCACCCCAGATCCTGGCTTGGTCGCCATGAAGGCCAGAACCACAAGGATGGTTTTTGCTAGCACTGAAGAAACTGCCACAGAAAAAATGATGCCAAAGGCAGTTTGTCGAAGGAGGCACGTTATCTTTTTAGGCTGGCCAAGGAATAGGAAAACACAAAGGAATGAGAGCAAGAGGGCAACAAGGAGAATGTAGCTGAGGTTCTGGTTGTTGGCTTTGACTATGGGAGTGTCCTGGTGCTTAAGGAAAATCCAAAGCACTATTACTGTTATGAGAGAAAAGGAAGAAGCAAGAATGACCAGACCGCTCCCTAAAGGTTCTCCGTAAGACAAGAAGCTCGTTGTTTTTGGAATGCATAAACTGTGTTCAGGATTCAAATACTGATCTTCTGGACACTGGAAACAGATATCCATATCTGAAAAAGCAGCCAAACAAGTCATTGAGGTTTCTAAGGTTTCTGCAAACAATGCTCAAATTTGTATGAATGTTCTGAACAAAACCTCTATAAGCCTTGTCATACTATTATATTCTTAAAATATCAAATGGATGCATGATTTACAAGCTTTGGCAGGAATGTATGATTATATACAGAAGCTCTCTCACTTCAGTACTCCATTTATATCCTCAGGCCAGTTGTTTTCATTCATGCTTGGATTATTTTTTCTGTTATTTTGTTGTTCTTTTCTTTTTAAAGAGATC